AACAAGATTTTTGCATCATATCTTGGGCAGACTTCAGCAACCAAACTTGCATTTTCTTAAATATTTATTTAATATTTACAATTAAGCTTGAAAAATCTTAAAAAAGAACATTATCCTTAAACAAAGTGTTTTATTTTCTATTCATGTTCATTCAAGGATATCATCGAAAGCTTAATGACAATAAATTTAGTTGAAATATTTTACTTTTAGATTCTAGATTTTTAATATATTTTAAGTTCAACATAAAATTTTTATGAAGCATAAAAGAAAAACTTTGAAAATAGATTTTTAAAACTTAAGTAGTAAAAATGTAAAGAACTTGTAAAATATTTCAGAAAAATTAAATGGTGAATGATTTGAAAACTTTCTCAAAATTTTTACGAATTCATTTGATAACTTTGCAGATTTTAATGGAGCATTAAATTTGTAAAAATCATCAATAACATTCTTGAATTAATTCCAATATTTCTAGCACATTGAATTCAAAATGATGCTTTTCTATTTTAGAGCATTTTGATTAGAGGATTACAAGAACTGTAGGTGAGAAATAAATCAAAGTTTAATCAAAAAATATTTAAACTTTTTTATTTAAAGAAAAACATGCAATAGTTTTTAAATTAATGGATAGCTTTCTACTCATTTTCACAAAACTTTTTAAATTGATAAAGCAAAACCGGAAATCCATTAAAATTTGAGTTTGTTTAACCGAATTTTTTGACAAATTTTGTTATAATTTTTTTTCTGAATCTGAATATTTTAGAGGATTTTTTTTAGATTTTTATTTTAGAAAATTTTTTCATTTTCTTTTACGAAATTTACATTTAAATTATTTGCTAAGACTTTGAAGGCAAAATTTTATATAAATGTAAATTTACCAAAAAAAAAAATCCAAGTTACTCGTATAATGGATTGCCTATATTATAACTCACTAAATTATTCAACGTAAAATGAGTGAGGACTTTTCTGATTTGATAAAGTTTAAACTTTTGTCTTAACCATTTAATGTTTTTATGTTTTTAACTTGATAATTTTTTAATACTTTTAAATGAATCTTTTACTTTTCTAATCAAAACTTTTAAATAAGTTCTTTTGCTAAGTTTAAAAGCTTTCAAAATTTGAATTAGCAATAATTTTGCACCAAAGAATAAATTAACGAAGTCAACACATTTAAAAGCACACAGAGATGGATAATTTCAATCAATACTTACCAAAATAACTGAACAATCAAATTATTTTCTAATTATTATGAAGAAGAATGGTTGCATTTTCATGTTTTTACCCAAACATTTACGTAACAATATAAAATTAACAATACAATTTTTAATATTCACTTTGGTAGTCTATCACTGTACATTTAAAATACTTTAAAATAATAACAGCACTTTAATAGTTTTGCTTTAATAATTAGGAAAAAAATCTGCCTAAGGGTCATATAAATTTTATTTTTTGCAACAATAAAATTAAAATTCACAATAAACTTTTTATTACACAACAAAAAAAATCATAGTTAAAAATTATTGGAAACACCTTAAAAAATCATAAAAAATAGTTTTTCCAGTCATTTGAAAAAGATGTCAAAAGAATTCCATAAAATAGTTGTAAAATCGCTTAGGCTTATTTTCAATTTTAAACTTTATCACTGTAAAAGGCTTACCAATATTATAGGTATGGAAACTCTTGTAAATCATCAATTCACCATTTTTTTTTTTGCTGCAATTCAATTTCATCATAATTTTGATTTTCTATACAAGTACTTTAAATGTCATCGAAAATTTTGTAAACACAAAAATTATTACAAAAGCCAAACACTTTTATTGTTTTTTTCTTTTATATTGTTCTTGTATTTTATTGAAAACCTTGTCAGGAACCTTACCTTTGTATATACTATTTGGCATTATATTACCGAGAAAGATCCATTCAATGCTACTTGAATATTATTACAAATCCAACCTAGAAAATAAATTTTAATTTTTAGCATATTTTAAAATATAAAAATGCAGAAAATATGCTTTCCAATTGTTTTGTTTACGGCGGGCTCCATCTTTTCGTTTTTTATTTTGTCCATTGAAAGAAACAATATCTTAAGCCACTTTTACAGACATTTAGGATGAAATATTACCAATAACCACATTATTTCCCAGTACTAGAACCGCCTTACGATTGCGATTGAAACAAGGATAGTCGAAACACAATGAAAGAAAGCATTCTATATAGGAGATCGCCAGATTTTTGCGGCCAATTGACAATTTCGCATTATAAGCTATAATTTTTTCAAATTTTGAGCTATGTTTCAATTTTTAAGAAGAAGGTTTTGTACTTTCCATTCTATTAATTTTTTGCTTTAATTAAAGCGAAACGCTCTTAAAAGTGGATTAGTTTCGAGCTCTTTCAAATATTTGAAAGATAAGCGAACAACATTAAGTTCGATGAAAATTAAATCTGTTAGTTTACACACCATTAATTTAATTTCACTTTTTTCTGATTTTTCTTTTAAATTGCTGTTGAAAATAATGCAAATATAAAATTAAATGATTTTTATTACATAGGCACATTAAGTTACAATGGGCTTATTATTTTTATTTTGTGAAGATATTTTGCAAATAATAAAGAATATTTATTGTAACTGCAATAGAGTATTTTTGTTAATGGAGCATAGCTTAGTGATATAAAATGTGAACTGCAGTAATATCAATGATATTTTGTAAGTTATAACGACACTCTATACAAGAATTAAGTCTACGCACCTATACAAGAATTAAGCCTATTTAAAACAGAAAGTGACACTTTCTGTATTTTATTTAATAATGGTTAAGAAGTTGAAAATATCATCAAGAATAAAAATTGTATTTGCAACGTTTCCATAACAGTAAATAAATTTAAATTTGAAGTTAAAAAGAACTTTATTTATAGCCAATATCTCGTACCAGAAACATACTAAAATATCGTCAAGATTTCTGATGTTGGACCAGATCAAATTTAATACAATTTAAGCTGAAAAATTAAAAAAAGCACACTTGATTAAATTACCTACCATTTAAATTTTTAACATATGCAACTTACCCAATAAATTTCACTTCTTAAGAATCTTTTATGCACGCAATGATTTTTTGGAATAATACTCATACGTTTTAACTTACATGATAAATTCATTTAATACACAAATTGTTATACGCGTTTTGGACAAAATACTGCACACAAACCAAATGAAAATCAATTAAAAATGAAGATATTTGCGGATATCTATGGGCTTTTATAGTAAACTTATAAGCAAACGTCAGTAAAACATAAATTCATAACTAAACGATTAAAGCGCACATATTTTGATATTACCCCTTCAAAAAAATTTTTGTTTATCCTCCACCTTTGCATTGTCTTTGGGTTTTAAATTTGCATTTTTGAAAAACAGGTAAAATTACGTAAAATAATTGTAAACAACGTAGTTGACCTGCTCAATTATAAGACATTAATAAAGTCATTTTGATTGATGACACTATTCGTACTCAAACTTGAGTTTGATCTGAAAATATCAAAAGTGTCTTGTAGTAAGCAACCTTATTTTTGACTTTTAGTTTTGACTTCCTAAAACCAAGCGTTCTTTGGAAGTCCGGGTTTTCTTGAATCTGGTGGATTCCACTTAAAGGTCATTTTAGCGATATTATTGGCGGAATTAGATTGTGACCAATTCATTTTCACTTTCTTCTTCTTATTTGTCTACCGATCGGTTCTCCACCTGCCAGAATATTGGGTTATTATTCCGAGTATCTATTGATTAGTACTTGTAACGGATTTTGAAGTTAGCTAAGTTTCGCTGTCAAATAACAAAAACGATCATTTTACACAGGCTAGCCTTAGTCGCTAATTCTACTTCTCTATATCGGTTGCCAAACGCTCTTCTTGCTTTCTTGCGTCTGTTCTTTACATTATCCTGAGCCTTCCATCAGGTGCAATGATGGTACCCAAGTACCTGAAGCAACTAACGAACTTTACTGCCTGTGATAGTGGATTTTCTTCGCCTTAGATATCTCCCTGCAATCTAGATCTTTCAGGTGTTTTGTCAGATTTCAGAATACTCTCCTTTTCTATAAGCAAGGAACTTATAAGATGTTATGTCAAGCACGATTGTAAAGAGCAGCGACAAAAGTAGGCAACCGCGTTTTACTCCTGATTGGATGGCGAATGACGGCGAGCTTTTCACGGAGCGCATTGCAATGCCCTTAATTATGTCAAAGGCTTTTTCGAAGTCGATGAAGAGCATGTATAATGGTGTTCTATACTCTATTAACTGTTCGACTATTCGAAACGTGTTCACTTGATCGACACAACTCTGATACGGAAGGAATTAAATTATTCTATTAAGCTATTCTGGATCATTGTTCCTAACACCTTGTATGCTGATTATGGCAATGTTTCATTTACGTTTTCTTGGTAATTGAACATTATGCACGTAAACCAAATACTCAAAGTGAGAAGAAAATAAACACTGAATCGAACCATAAATAATGTTTTTAGTTGCTCAAATACCAACGTTAAAGTTGTTTATTTCTTCACAGATGAGTAGATTCACTTTTGGTAACCAATTAAAAAACAATATTTTGTCATAATTCGTTAACAAAATTTCATGTTAAAAATTTATTTTTGTTTCTCTTAACCTTTTTCTAATCTAAACAAATTCTAAGAGGAAAACACCTAACCAAACATTTACCTTAAGTTCTTTGTAGAAATTTTAAATAAATATTTTAAAAATAAAATATTTATCTAAAAATAGATTATAGTGCAGGCGAGAAAATTTCCTATGAACATTTCCTTAATCCTTTAATGAATATGATATTTATGAATGAAAAAAAAATCAAAAACTAAAAAAAATATTCAGCACGTGTCTTCAAAAAAAAAAAAAACAAAATCACTATAAATAGGGCGCAATTTTTATAAAAATATGTGAGAAATTTCTAACAATTAAAGAAGATCAGGTCTTTTTGTAATGATTTATTGTGTAAATACGAAAAAAAATGATAAATAAATTCGGAAAGCATTTTGGATTACAGATATGTGTTATTTTTACGACTCTTACAATAATTAATATTACATTTGCATTTGAAAATGCACGCAAAATTGATGATGACCAACCGATAAATATTTGTGGAAAAGCTATACCAGAAACATTGGCACTTGTCTGCGAAACATTGAATTCTCTACCAGTATTACCCACTTCAAAAAGATCTTTGTATGAAGGAAAGCAATTGTTTGGTATTAAATACTGAGAGAAATATTTAAAAATATTTTAAAATAAATTTTATTTCAGACTTCGGATACGACAATAATATGTTAAATATGGATAATGTACAATTTCATAATCAAATTAACGACAACACACAGAACAATGAAATTTTTGATTTTAATTGGAAGGATGCTTACAAAAATTTAATATATAAACCAAGGTCTACAAGGAGTTATTATCTAAGTCAAATGTATTCCCGTGGAATCGTTAGAGAATGTTGTATAAATAGTTGCAGTTACAAAAAGCTTAAAAGTTATTGTGCAAAAACGAGGGAATAATTTTTATAGGAATTAATTTACTAAAAATATTCTAAAATTCATGGAAAATACATACAACACTTATATTATGTAATAAATTATTATTTGGTAAATATACATATACATATACATGCCTATTAGATTTTAGATTGTGATTCGTTGTACATGTGCATGCATTCAAATATAAAATTTGCACTTTTTTTAATTTTCGTGCCAAAAATATGCCGTTTTTAATATTTATCCACCTATCCAAATTCAGTAAAGAACATTATTGTCCCAACGTTATATTTTGCCACAACAATCCTCTCAAAAAATTAACTATAGGCAAATGTTTTAATTTAGAGAATAAAATTTGAAAGAACAATTAGTCACTCTTATTGGGTACAAAGATATTATACTTTATAGAAGGAGAAAATATATGCAGCAAGTATAGGTGCGACTATAATCATTACCAAACTAATTTGGTCACTCACTTATTAACTTACCAAATTTATAATGTTTCGCTAGACAGAAAGCAACACGGCACTGTATCACGTTTTTAAAAAAATAAAGACATACTTTACTTGATATCTTTTTAATTTAATATAATACATTTCACTTACTTATCTAATTAACAATTATTCTAAATTAATATTATAATATTATGTTCAAAATAAAATTTTAAAAAATTAATGTTTTAATTTTTCTATAAGTAATTCCAATACAATTCATAAAATCGCTAATTTACTGCATTTTGGAATTTACATGTAAAAAATATTTATTAAAAATCTTTTAAAATTGCATATGAAATTATTAAAAACGTTTTTATTTTTGATTTTTTCTTGAGATCTTGAGCTATAACACTATACACAGAAACTTTTTAACATTTTAAAAGAACACGGTTTTTCACAGCATTCATTTGACATTATATCGTTCGGACCTGAAAATTTTTAAAATAAAATCAATTATTATAATAATTTAGTAAATTAAATATTTATAAAATTATTTTTTATAGTATGGCTCAGTTACTCAATTCAACAAAATCCCAATAATAGTTAGCTCCCTCCAAAGAAATGTAATAAAGATCTGTTTTATTCAGGATATTTCATTAAAGGAACTCTTATGAGCATTTAATATTTACTTCATTAAACATACTCTTATGAGCACTTAATATTTTACAATAATATATACTTATTCAGATATCTAATTCGCACCACCTTCACATACTAAAATAATCCCAATATGAAACAATATTTTTATGTGTTGGGTTACTTGATAACTAAAGAACTTGAGCTACTTAAGTTCTTTAAATGTATTAAATTGCCATATGCATCAAATGCGAAGAAATCAGTTATTTCAATTAAAAATATAATTTGAATGCATACGTACATAAGAATATTTATGCATATGTGTAAAACAGAATGAGTGCAACAAGTAGATTTAAAAAAAATGCATTTTTAATTGCTTCAATTTCGTTAAATTTATTGAATTATAAATTCATGTCAAGACTATTTATGCGTGTTCCATTTTCGATTTTTATTGTTTTACGTTAATTCAAACCCATAAAAACAACGTTTACAAAGTGTGTGCATATTAAGAATCACATTAATTATACAAATTAAATAATGTTTTTGCTCATATCATCTAAACTTTCAAATGTAAATGATTTATTGCCTATTGGAAAATAATGTAGAAACTTGAAAAAAAAAATTGAGATTGTAGACAAGGGTTAAATTAAACAATGTGACAATTCCGATAACTCCTATTTTTTAACATGTACAATGTTTGACGAAATTATTAAATAAATTACATCACGGTTTTGATAATTTTCTTTTCAATTTGAAAACAAAAAACCGCAAATAAAATGGGAAATACCCATACATACTCAAAATATACTACATACGTACGTATGTGAAATCTGAAATCATAATTGCTGAACGTCTGGTCTTAACGTTAAAATTAATGTAAACGTCTGTTTAAATACAATTTTGTTATCAGTCTTTTTAATATTATTATATTGTTATGTATATATGTATGTATATATATACTTACTTGATAAATAAATTTTGTCACCAGTTTGACAAAACTGATTCAATAATTCCGTTAAATATTTACTACAATCCACATTATTTTTAAAATAAAGTATTTGTGCACCATTCGAACTAAGTATAAATGATGTTAATATAAGGAATATGCAAATTATTATTAATTGTTTATGAATTATTATTTTATTGAATTTAGCCATTTTTTAATTAATTAATTTAAAAAAAATTAAGAAAACAATATTATATAATATCAAATTTTATTTTTGCTTTTGTTTTTTGTTTTTGCTATTTATTATAATGTTATGTAATTTATTTTAGCTTGTATTTTTAAATTTTTTTTTTCATTTACCAGTTATAATTAGTGTTGACTTGTTTATTGTAAAACTGTTCACTATCATACTTCAAATTATACTGTGATATTTTTTAAGAATTTTCAAAAGAATAACCAAAAAAACAACAAAAAATTATAAAAAAACCGAAAATAATTTAAAAATGTAAATAAGTATTACAAAATCAAAATAGTTTTGAATCATCGAAAAATTTGTTTGGAACAAAAATAATAATTTTTAGTTAAAGTTCCACAAGAACAATACGACGATTTAAATTTTTTTTTATTGATTCACACTATACAGAAAGTTTCATTGCTTATTTTTAAATTTACATACATTCATACATATGTAGATACGCACATGTATACATATTTAATATTACACAATTTAAAATTTGGTTTTCGGGTTTTGCCTATTCAAATTTTTAACATTAAGAAATTTATTGATAATATCATTAAAATTCTTTCAATGTTTTAAAACAAGGAAAAATATTTTTGTTTGTTAAATTTTCTTAGTTTTTTAATCACTTCTTTAATTAAATAACACTAACTTAATATTTCTTTTTGGAAATTCTTTATCTTTTCTATTTTTAGAAAAATGTACTAAAATAATATTTTTTTGTATAACACTTATTATCATATTGATTACATTTAAATTTGTAAATGAGTAAAGACGAAGTCTCTAAAAAAATATTTGAATATAAACAAACCCTTAATTGTTTACATTTATCTTTAGCGCACTGGAAACTATTTAAGGTAACAAGAAGTACTAATAGATACACAATATCATTTGATACTGAAAAGATTAAAAAAAAAATTTATTATAAATTAAGATAATTATTGCAAATAACAAATAAACAAATCTATTACAATATTCACGTACAAAATGCAAATCGAATATTGTGACGCCACATGACACACGACTAAAAATATGTTTTCATAAAATGAATGTTTGTGATAACATGAAACAAAAATAACAAAAATATTTAATGTCATTTCCAATCGTCGTCGACGATCACGCATTCAAATAATGTTTCAAATAAATTACAATGATAATACAAAATTTTGTTATTTTTTATAAAAATTCAAAACTTGAAAACCAAAATAAAATAATTTTTATTATTTCCGATTACAATAATAAAACTTTTATAAGCTAAAAATATTTAATATTATTGTAATCTATTGTAAATAATTTGATGATTAATATTATAATAAATGAAGCATTTACCGTAAAAATATTTGACAAGCGATTAAGTATAGTAGAGGTATTTTGGATCTCGTGTTATAGAACGAAATATTTTTTGATTTTAAAATTCATTATACAATATGTTGAACACACCTGTCAGGAATAGCATGTACTCAGAAACGTCATTTGAAATTTGATTAAAAATACAGTATGGTTTCTAATGCAATATAGATTGTATTAAATACAGTGTGAGTACGTGAATAAATTTCGAATTTATAATTTATGCACTTTTTTAAGCTATATATTTTTGCAAATGACATTCGGTTCAAATCTTTCTTGATTACCCTTATCGAAAATCGTCATTCTAATTAATCAAAATTTGAGTTTATTAGAATTAACGATTTTATTTAGCAACTCTCGATTAGGACAAGAATACGTAAATACAATCAAAGTTAAAAAATATTGGCCTCATAATATTTGACTTTTATGTTAATTATCTTATAATTTAAATTAATTAATATACCTATTTCAAAAGGAATATGTTCGGTAAAATTTATTCTAATTAAAAACATAAGTAACATTTTTTTAACTATTTTTCAAATAATTTCTTTTATTTTCAAAAAAAAAAAGTAATTCTTCACAACAAATCAGTTCACAATAAAATTATTCCAATATTTTATTATTTCTTTTTCTACTTTATATAATTGAGACGTATTATAAGATTTATAACCACTTATTATTTTTTAATTTTAATTACAACCAGTAGCCCACAAATTCAGAATTCAAACTAAAATTTTTATTTCGAAATGAAAATTAAGTAAAATATAAGGAAAACAATAAAAACCGAAAATAAAAATCAAAGTTTTTTTATACTATGTGCGATACACACAATTCCCAGTAATATCTCGTTACTTTTTAGTTGTTTACGCATCCGATCATTAACAATCTGAATCATTGTGAATTGAAATTTAATTAATAAATAAAGCAAAGTACTCTTTCTTTCTTTCTGCCTTCGTTTTTTTCTTTTTGTTTTTGTTGAATTGCACTATGAGTTGTTTACATTTTTTTATTAATAATATTACATTAATAATTACTGTTATCGCACAATTTTATTTTTATATTGAAACGAAGAGTATAAAACGGAGGCGAAATAAAATAGGATTTCCTATCAGAATAAATTCTTTTGAATGTTCTAATTTCATTAATTTATTATTGTACACTTGTATATGTTCGTATATTTGTAAAAATAGAATAAAATTTTAAATAGAAATTGTAAACAAATAATAATAATTAACATGTAATTATGAATTATATGGGAATACAAGTATTATGCAGACATATTTCTTTTTTTGAGAAAAAACAACAGAAATATTTAAATGCATAATACAACAAAAAAAAATGGAATTTTCCTTTAATATTCTCTTATATTTTAACACAAATTACAATACTTACGAGTATATATTATAAAATTTATAGTGGAATAATATTGAAAATCGAAAAGATATTTTGTAATTTTAATAAAACTGATAATATAGGAGAAGAGTGAATCTCAGAATTAAAACCTTCAGTGGTAGTGATATTTTATCGTAAAAATTCTTTTAAGACTTCATTATACACAAAAATCCTTTGTTTGAACTGGTTGGTATTTACAGTAATAATATCTTACTTTTTACGATAAAACAAAATTATTATCAACTTTCAGTGATTCGCTTTCTAATGGGTTTTTTATTGATATTATGGCATTTTAGCATGTTAAAGCTGTTAATATGGTGTATATGGGCAAAAAAAAGCTACATTTTTCGTATAATTCAATTTAAATATTGATATTTTGACTTTTAAAACTGTAACAAATTTTAGAAACGAATTCAAAACTATAAACAAAATTACAATGCGTTTTTTAAATGAAAATCTAAATTAAGCCTTTCTAAGGATGCACCTCTATAGCTTTTTTTTATTTTTAACAATTTTAAACTAATTTTCTGGTTTTGAAATCAATTTTTAATAAAAATACAATCTTATTTTCTAAGCATTTAAATGTTATGTCAATAACTACCGCCAGTTTTTCTAATTAAATTTTAAAATAATTCCAATTGACATACTTGACCGAATAATTTAAACCCAATTTAAAACACCTTCAAACGTACAGCTTTCTGCAATCGTATCCATGAAATGTCTGACAAAATATATATATGTAATTACAATTCACAATATTAATACAAACACTTTAATTTAAGAGGAAGAAACACTCGGATAAAACTGGTTAATATTTTTTGTTTTTACTTTCTAACTCATAATAATTAACAAAAGCAATTGCGTACATAAATAATTCAGTTCATAGAAACTTAAGAAAATAATCATTACATACACTTTATATAATAATCTCCATTTTTTTTTTTGTTATAAATAAACATTTTCTAAAAATAACTCATATATGATATTTTTGAATAGAAATAGTGCGACTAAAAATATAATTGAAAAAAAAAAAACAAAAAAAAAGTTAAATGAACCATCATTCATTACGACTGTTTACAACCAATTCAAAATCAATCCACTGCGATAGTCTAATTTTCATTTGAGATTTCCCTTTTTTTTTGTAAATTATTTTTGTTTTAGAATTTGTTTTTCATATTTTGTATTTTTTTTGTTCTTATTCTCTGGACTCATGTATACGCCCAAGTAAAATAAAACTATACATACATTGTATCAGTTAATACAACTGAGCTGGCTGAATGAGACGGGTGATAAAAATAAGAACTTTTTCGTTTTGTTTTCGAAAAAAAATTACTGATAATGCGTGTTTTTCAATTAAATATTAAGATTTTACATTCAATATAACAAAAAAAAATTAAAAACTATAAATTAATATCAGAAGTAAATTTGTCTAGCCAAGGGCTTCAGTTTATTCCTATTTCCACTATAGTATTGTGTATTAAGTATTTTATATTCGTTTGTCTGTGTATTCAATTTTACTTGCTTTTTGTTATTTTCAAAATAGTTGTGTTTTTTTAATAACAAAATCCAAAATTCTTTAGAATTGATTTATGTACTCGTATATAAAAAAATAGTTTAAAGTTTAAAGTCCATTTGAAAAATTTCGAGGAGGTCATTAAATTTTTGCGGTATATTTGAAGTAAAAACATCATTTATAAAATAAATAAAAGAAATTAAATAATAAAGTAGCAGTAATTTCTATTAAAATTGAGATATTTTAATATTTATCTACAGAATTTTTACAAAATTTTCATGTTAGAAGCGATTTTTTTTATTTTGGCACATTTAATATTGCCGATTACTATAATTAAAAAAAATATTGCTTCCTTATTAGGAATTTTGCGTAAGTGTGTATAATGTCGATTGAGTATATGAATTAATACCCTTATGATCGGCAAAACTAATGAATTTTTATTATTTTTGGCGAATATGAATTTTCGCGAATTCAGCGAATTCGCAAACATTTTAAGCGAAAGAGCTATTAAAAATTTCGAATGAAAATTCTGCGCATCAAACTTGGCAAATCAGATTAAAAACTAAAATAAATATATTTTTTTTTTGGCACAAACTACTTTTAGGTTATTGTGTAATTTTTTAATGACTTGAGCTAGCATTATTTTTAACCTGGCGAACAAAATCAATGGCCGATTTTACTTTAAAATGTCTTAAAATTTTTCAATTAAGTCATTATTGGAACTACAATATATTTTTAACTATAATAATGAACTACGGTTTAATTTATTTTTGATAATTAAATTATTAAAATAAATTAATGCAATTCCAAATTAATTATTTTAGGTAATTAATTAATGTAGCTATTATTTAATAAAAAAAAATAAACAACAATTTTTAATATTTCTGTATTGCATTACTATTTTTATATAATAATGTTTATTTTAAATTCGTGAACATTTTCAACATAATCCTTAAATTTTCTCTTACAAATTACAATTTTTTTAGTTTTAAAATAAATTATTACATATTTCGCCATTTGTATTTTTCAGTATAATTATGTTCAGTTGGTTTGAAAGTGTAAAAACATAAATAAGTATTTAATTTATATAGAGAAAATAATTATTTAAACCTTATTTTAAAATAAATAAATTAATTGATTCTTTAAAAACTAAAACTGTTAAAATATAAATTTTTATATTTAAAAATATAATTATTATATTAAAGAAACAAAAATTTTTATTATTGTTTGATAAATAATTTATTTGTATAAGCAAAATTTCGAATTAAAATGAATAAAAATTAAAATAATTAAAAATAGTTTTGTTTTTTAATTTAACAACTTTTGCAAACATTTACTTTTTCTTTCCATTAATGTAAATCGTATAATCTTTATCACATACATAATATTTTTGAAAATATTAATAATTTCAATATATAATATTAATAATAAAATTATAAATATAAAAATTAATTAAACAAAATATATAAATAATAAAATTAATTAATTAAAATTTTGCAAAATAAATTCAAAAAAAGAAATTTTTTCCTTTTTTCTAGAATACTGATAAATTAATAATTGTTATTGTTTGTGTAAATATAATTATGGTTTTTATAAATATTGTTGCAAACTTTTGTTTTTGAATATTTTTAACATATAATTAGTCTAATTATACAAAGGTATTTAGTGTAAGCATTTCGCATAGTTGTAAATTTTGTTTTAAATTTTTATTCTTTTCCAGAGAATTTTTATTTTAATAATCTTGAATATTTAATAAATTATTAAATTTTTAATAAAACATTACAAATATTTTTATTTAAATAAAAACAAAATCTATTTATATTTCATTATTGTTTTCTTTTTTTGTTTCAATTTAATACAGAAATTTTTTAATATATTTTTTTATTCATTTTTAATAAACACGCGCACCTTCAATTCTAATATATTGGAACAAAATATTAGAATGAACGATAATAATTTATGATTAAGTTATGATTTTGAATAGATTTTGTTGTAGTTTATTTTTTTTTAATTTTTAGGAATGTAACAACAATTATTTGACAAAACTTTTAAGGTATCTTTTTATTTTTTGGTTTGCTTTCCGATCATATTAATCTATGAACAATAACTTTTAAGTGTTAAGTATGAACATGATTTTTTACAACATTCATCAGAAATTCCTAACCATGAACGGCGAACTCTTGGATATAAAACACCAGTATTACCGCCTCCTGATAATTTTGTTAAAAATGTATTTTCACCCAAATGATTTTGAATATCGTATTCATCATCAATCATCATATTATCATTGTCATTTGAATTATAATCATCCATTATAATAAATTCTAAAATAAAAAAATTAATTATTATATTAAATACTTGTATATATACAAAAAAAAATATAATTATAATACGTAATTTATTATAATTTCACTTACCAGCTCTTTTTGTTCGAATTTTATTCATACGACCTTGACAAACAACATGCAATAAATCAGCTAATTGTCGGCCACAAGCTCTTTGATTTTCGCTTAAATTCATAAGATGTGCTCCATCAGAATAATTATTTAAAGTCAAAATAATTCCCATAAATAAAACAATTATTAAATTAAATTTATCGTTAAAAACCATTTTGAGTAAAATAATTAAAATATACAATCTATAATTTTTATATTTTAAATAAATTTGCAATTTTTATGGGTTTTTTTCGTTTTTCAGTAAATTTTATGACGGCTGCTGGTGCAATATGGGCACAAAATTAATGAAAATAATAGTAGTGTTTTATTTATTTCTTTTATTTTTCCTTAATCACTGATATTTACTCTGCCAGAAGGTGATATTTCTTATGAGTAAATATTCGAATTACTGATGGAAAATTCATTAAAACACTTGGTATTTATAGTCAAATCTGTAAGGACGAAAAATAAAAAGAAGGTAAATTATTATATAGGTAAATAATTAGGCATGAATAATAGGAATATGCAAATTTTTTTCAAAACATATATTGCAACAACAATATATTTATACATCAAGTAAATGCTATTGAATAAATAATGTGTAACACTTTCACTTACATACGTACATATTACATATGCAAATAAATTCAAAATCTAACACTATTTTGTGTTTAATGAAGTGTTCAACATTAAAAGTAAATAATCTTAATGTTATCCTGTAGGTGGCTTAAATTTTAAAATATTTTTTATTAACGGTAAATTGATTTTAGAAATTGTGTTACACATACATATACCTATACATATATAAGCATGCTCATAAATATAATTAATAACTATGAAGGCTTTAATTTATTGTTAACACTTGATTTAACATTAAAGTGTAAATAATTTGTTACACCGGAATTAAATGCGAGATGATTGAGGATTCAAGGACAAAATTATGACTTCATTTTCTACTTAATTTTTAACTTATATAATAGAAGTTTTTTCTAAAACAATTTAAAATACTTAATATTTGAGATAAATTTAAAAATATTAAGTTTTTTATTTTCAATTGAAAAACAATACAAGTGACGCCAATTTGTAGATACCGATCTCTGATACTAGATTTTTTACAGGCAATTTATTTGGGTTGTTTAATAAACAATTTTATTTTAAAACTTCAATAAATTTGCTGTCAAATTTGACATTTTTGTTAAAAAACAAAACAAAGGAAATATTTACATACGTATGAAAAAATTTAAATAGTGAAGAATACCATATTTTTGTTAATTATTCTTGTATTTTTTTTATTTTTAAACAAAAACAAAAAACATTTTTCAAAAAAAAAATATGCATTTCCACCCACGAATAAACTAAATTTAAATTAACATTTTAAAAGCAACGGTAATAATAAACATTCCGTTATTAAAAAACAAAATTCAGAAATATGTGTGGCAGAGCTGAGGGTCGGCAATGTTTAAATGTTTAAATAACCTATTATATTTAATTGGAAAATGTTTGTACTAAAGTCATATTTTTAGCCTTCATTTTAGCCAACAAGAAATATTTTTATATGTGCCGTATGTATTAACATATGTAACGTATGTATGTTTAAAAAAAGCACTTGTGGAACATTATTTTGTCATTCGTGTGTTTTGTCAAAATGTAAATTAAGAAGATTATATAATAGAAATTTGAAATTTTTTAAAATTTAAAAATAGCATTAAAAATTTTAATAACAATTTATCTATTTATAAATAACATAAATACTTTTGTGAATTAGTTATTCGAATTTTTCTGGGAAAAAATATCGAAAAAAAATTAAAGCAAAAATATTTAGAACAGCTTTTTCATATTTGTATAACAATTTATGATTGCGTTCAAAAACATTACAGAATTTTAAAATTTCACAAAAGAGACGAAATTCTCTTGAAAATTAATTTAAAAATATAATTTTGGTTTATTAATTTAATTTCGAATTTAAAAATAAATTGAAACTCATAAAGGGTTGATAAAATAATCATTTTAAATAGCAATGAGTCCCCTCTAATGAATAGACCCCCTATTCTTAAATTTAACACATTACATGAACGTCGAATCATGATTTGGATCAATGTGTTGTTTATTGCTTAGAATTTTAATAAAATTGTGTTTGAAAGTGCACCCAATATTACAGTTAACTTTATGATAATCAAATAATTTGAAATATTAAGTAGTTAATCAAAACCCTAGAACCTAATTTTACATATATACATACTTACACATATATCTATTTGCATATCCACGTATGTACTTATAATAAGACTTTTAATTGCTCCTGAATGTATTTTATTTTGTAATTTATCTTGAACTAGTAAACATTTTCCATTTTGTTTAATTCATATATAAATTTATATAATTTAAATGCAAATACCTAATTGTATAATTTAAACCAATATTGTGCGCTTCAAGAAAAAATAAGGTCAAACCATTACAATACAAACAATTGTTTCAATATTATGTTTGTAAAAAATTAAATTTTTGCATACATTTTGTACAAATGTATTTTTGTATTGTTATTTTCTATTATATAACTTTACCTACATATATTGTTTTAATTCTGATATTATGATTTTGGTTTCTTCTTGTTTTACACAATTTTCTTATTTTAAATTGAAAATTTATTTAAAAGTGTTATACGCACCTTACTTAAACACATTATTGTTTATTTTTTTTTAAATAATATTTTATTGAATTATATTCAATTATCAGAGTATCTTCTATTAAATTCATAATTTTGTAATTTATTCAAAATATTTTTAATGTTTTTCATTTAAAATTTATTTGTTTCAATTTTTAATAAGACGGCATTCATTGTCCTATTTTGTGTTTTAAAATTAAAGTTTTCTATTATTACCAAAAAAATTACATGGCACTTATTTATTTTTGGATTTTCAATTTTAATTTATTTTTTTAGTTCTTGAATTTAAATTCTTAACTGATATCCTTAATTTTTTGTTTTTTTTTTTTCAAAAAAATTTTTTTTTAATTATTCTAAGAGGAAAACATGGTGGCTCTTCCGTATTCTTTTGAAAACTAATAATAATTTTACCTGCTTCCAGTCCGAAGTTAATTATTTTATTTTATTATTAGAAGAAGTTAAATTCTGTGTGTTGTTTGGAATTTTGTTTTGTTTTGGTTACTTGGGCTATCTACCAGTTGTAAACATATAGTGTGTACCCTGCACACAATAAAACATTATTTTCAAAACAAACAAATAAACATTTCTCTTATTTCTTTCTATTTTCTTTTACTTTCACATATTGTTCTTTTTGTTTAATTTTATTAGTAAATTTTTATGTTCCCAAAAAAAAAAACGATGTAGTAGTAAATCATTATTGTACTTAGGCTGCATGCTCTAAAATACAAATAAACAAATTATGTTTGTATGTGTGCTTGTATTCATACATATATCAAAATATCAAAACAAAAATATTACAAATGAACTGCTAAAAATACAAAAGAAAAAAAATATTAAAATTATAAAAGAAATACGAAAAACAAAAAAAAAAAAAAGAATACAAACAAGAGGGTTACTTAAGGCCAGATTATGACCAGGGAACCCTAAAAATAAAATTAACCGATAGTATCAACTTTATTTTTTTTCTTAATTAATATTTAGGTCAGTGATTTATTTTGATTTGTGAACGATTAATAATGGAAAAGAATACACATTTTTACATTTTCAGAAGATTCTCAATTCAACTCTCTCTTTCTACGTAACTACTGAAACCAAGTACAGTAAAAGCAATTTAATTTGAATGTTTATATTTTTAAATAAAACTTTACGTTTTGCGACATTTCTTGTATTTTTAATGAAAGCACTCCATTGAATGACATAACCAGAGCTACTCAGTGGTATTTTTATATTGAAATTCACTTGAACAGAAGTAAAAACTAACTTACATAAGTAAAGGTTTTACAATTATTTTCCATATAAAAATTTGAAGCCCTCTACAGGAATAATTTTTCGTATCAATTCCTCTCAACTACTCTTTTTGCTGCATATACAGTGATGTAGTTGTTAATCTTATACTAAATTCTTAAATTGATTACCATAATATTTTTAAATACTTAATTGCTGTAACAAATTCCATCAAATAAATCCTTCTTCGGGAACTACAAAATGTTAATTAAGTAAAATAGTTATCGTGGTATTAAATGACCATTCATTTGATATTAATTTTGCATTTAAATCGGACATGCATTTGAATCGGAAAAAATTTCATTGGTGAACTATAATTGAAAATTAAATGTTGCTGATAGTAAGCTTGCAGATGATAAATGCATAAAAAATTTCAGATGACACACCCCCAAATTCTGTAAAGATAAAAAAAAATAATAACGTAAGCACGTTGAATTCACGTGATGAACTTAAAAAACATTTTTTCTAAGTTCGTCACGTGTAAAAACAAAGAGGCCAAACTCAAATATCTAATCAAATTTTATTCACAAAATATCCGGCATTGTTTCCAAAATAACAACTTTAAATAAAAACAAAAAACGTCGATAATGATTTATTTCTTTTTTAATTTTTCTCATTTAAAATTTTTTATGCACCTTTTTTAAATGTTCAAATTTTAAATACATTTTTTTTTTCTCTACATACTTTTTATGTTTTTTACAAAGTTTTGATAACAAAGGTAAATTTTTAAGAAATTATAATAGATTCAAGTCGTGCAAGAAGAAATGCCAGATTACAAGGTTTTACTATCTTTTACTCAACAACGTCAAAAGAATGGATTTGCATTTAAATACGTGAAAAATCCTTTTGATTTTTTAATGTCAATTTTTTTTTTCAATTACTGACCGAATTTCACGTATCATAAAGAAAGTATTGTGGTGACACAAACTTCAAAAATTCATATTTCGACAATTCGCCGCAAGAGTTACAAACAATGTATTTTTAGCAACTATTGCTATTTGTATAGGCAAGTAACTCATTTCTGAATGTTCAATTTCGATTTTAGTGTAAATAATTAACATCTAGAATTACTTTATTTCTGTGATGAATCGGTCAACTTTTGGGGCATATCAAACATCAGCAAATTCGACTATTCAAGAGGCTTTAACTGACTGATTTTTGCACACTTTGCGATATATCTTTTTTTTAAACAAAACCGCAAGAAACAATCAATATGGAATGTGGCAACACTTTTCGTGTGGCTTGTGGAACCAAATTACAAAAATCTTGTTTTGTATTTGAAATTCTCTTTGTAGCAATGTTAGGGTATTAAAATGTACAAAAATTGTTCGAAATGCACAATTGTGAGAACAACATTGGTACACTCACACAACTGTAAACAGCTATATTTACAACCTGCTGAATAAATGTACAATTTTACAGCAGTAATAAATAAAAAAAAATATTTAAATATTAAATTAACTACACTTGCT